TAAAGCAAAAAATGTTATCAAAATGTCACAGTATTGTGACAGCCCTGAGCAATATGATCCTATTTTGTTTTGGCCCGCTTCCTGTGTTTTTTCTCAGGTACTTCCTGATTACCTGACTGACTTCACCTGAATGGGGATAAACTGGGATACTCAAGATGGCCTCTCTGGAAGGCTCCCAACGTGATTTTATGTTGTTGTATATTGTGTTGTATATTGTGTTAGGTTAAGTCCTCAGTTTTTGTACATGTAGTTTAAGTTGGCTTTGATTTTCATAGCACCCAATACCTACACTACATTACTGACTACACGTTTTCAAATTTGGTTAGGTTAAATTGAGTTATCCTGAATAATTTTTTTTTTTTTTTTTTTTTTTTTTAAATGGTTACTGTGTGGACCTCCATTCTTGGTTATGCTCCTAAATGAGCTGGGCTCATCAGTATAAAAAGGGATAAAAAAGTCATAAAAACGTTGTAGTATAGTAAGGCATGAAAAATGTCATCAAAAAGTCATAGTATAGTAAGGCATCTAAAATGTCTAAAAACGGCATATTATAGTAAGGGAAAAAAAAAAAAAAAAAAACGTCATAGTATAGTATGGCATAAAAATGTCAAAAAAAAATTCATAGTATATTAGGGCATAAAAGGTCATAAAAACATCATAGTATGGTAAGGCATCAACTCACATAGTATAATAAGGCACAAAATTGCCCAAAAACGTCATAGTATAGTATGGCATAAAAATGTCAAAAAACATCATTGTAAAGTATGGGGTAAAATGACATAGTGTGGTAAGGATTAAAAATGTCAAAAATGTCATAGTATAGCAAGGCATAAAAATTTCAAAAAACGTCATAGTATAGTATGGCATAAAATGTCAAAAAAACATAATAGTATATTAAGGCATAGAAAGTCATAAAAACATCATAGTATGGTAAGGAATAAAACGTCATAGTATAATAAGGCTTAAAAATGTCAAAAACGTCATAGTATAGTATAGTATGGAATAAAACGTCAAAAAACATCAGTATATTAAGGCATAAAAGGCGATAAAAACGTCATAGTATGGTAAGGCATGAAAACGTCAAAAATGGCATAGTATAGTCAGGCAAAAATAAGACACAGTATTGTAAGGTAAAAAAACACAATATAATAAGGTATAAAAAGTCACAAAAATGTCACAGTATAATAAGGCTAATCAACTTCAAAAACCATCATACTTTAGTAAGGCATAAAATTACATAACCGTATAGTATAGTTAGGCATAAAAAGTTATAAAACCGTCATAGTATAGTATGGCATAAAAATATTTAAAAAAATGTCACAGTATAGTGAAAATAATCATAGTACGAAAATATCATAGTATAATAAGGCATCACAAACATCATAACACCGTCACAAAAATGTCATAGTATAGCAAGGCAAAAAAGTTCATAGTATAGTAAGGCATAAAAACGTCAAAAAATGCTACAGTATAATAAAGTATAAAAACAGTCATAGTACTGCAAGCCAAAAAAAAATGTAGTATAAAAAGCCCCAAAAAGTCATACTATAGTAGGCATTAAAAGAGTCAAAGTATAGTTAGGCATAAAAAAGTCATAGTATAGTAAGGCATTAGTGTCAGCAATTAACCTAATGTGCATGTCCTTGGATTGCAAGAGGAAGTTGGAGTAACCGGAGCGGACACACAGCGGCACAGAGAGAACATACAAACTCCACACACGAAGGCCCCAGGCCTGAATAATAAATAAATAAATATTAAAACTATCGAACAAATTCCAAGCCAAGTACAGTAGATTATATATATATTTATATGTTTATTTACACTGCTTGAGCAGAACTGCTTGAGAGCCCAAACAGCGTCATCATATATGATGGTCTGGCAGACCGTTGGGGCACCTATGGGTGCTGTAAAAAAGAGGAAAAAAGATGTCCTGGGGCATTACAAGCGCTCTTGGGGGCCCCCTGATGGCCACGGGGGCCCTAAGCAGCCTCTTAGTTCGCCTATGCCTTGCCTTGCTGAAAACGCTCCTATACAAAATTGGAATATAACAATCATTGTGAGAAATCACTGTGATGCTGTTTGTTTGACCTTGTGCTTTGTGCCCTCTTATAATCACGGTCTGTGCTGATTCAGAGTCAGACAGCGCAGATTGATGAGTCACAGATGAACAGATTAAGGCTTCTTCTCCTCCAGCTAAAGTCCACCTTGTTCCTCCTCCTCCTCCTCTCATCCGCCAATACTTCTCTAAACCAATCCCCTCATATACGTTCCCTGAGCTGAACTTCCAGTGCTGTTCAGCAAATCTCACACTCTTTCCTCTAATCCTCCACCTCTACTTTCTCAAAACATGATCCCCAGTCTTCCTATTTCTCATCCTCTGCTCTCTCGTCTTATCTGCCTTACCTCGCTCCTCTTTGCTCCCATAATTGTTGTTGTGAATGACTATGCACTAGCTGCTAGCGATCACTTTAAAGGTCACTGCATTATTCTTTAGAGAGAAAGGCAAGCACAAATCTCAGTCTTAAGAGCTGTTATTATCGAATACAGCTACAACTAATGATTATGTTTATAACTGATTAATCACTCCTGTACATTTTGGATTCATCAATGAAATTGTTTAGTCAGTAAAATGTTGCAAAATGCCCATCACAATTGCCCAGAGCCCAAATGATGTTTTCACTCTTCAAAGGTATTCAAGTTTACAATGCCATAAAGGAGCTTTGAGGTCTTCAGATTTACTGTTGATTCATTTAGGCATCTTTCAACTGTGCAACAACGGCGATTATGTATGATAACAATTGCTGTTGGCACAGTGTGTGAGGTGGGAATAATAAAATCATGGTCACAATCTGTGTCAGGCTGTACAATATTAGTTTGAGTCTTGTCAGGATGTGCAAAGAATGTGTGGTGAATTTGTAGTGCTACAATTTAAATAGAAGATATGAGAGCAGAGGCACGTTATCAGTTCTTGTCATCCATCTGTGTAGCTCTTGTGCTTTGAAAATGTAGCTCAGGTTTTCTTCTTTGCCAGTCACACAAACCTGCTTTGGTGTGCACACGTTTTTCCCTAAACTTTATTTAAAAAATTTTGTTTTTGAAAGGTCACCAGTCAGTTTACTCCGCATCATTTTGTCAATCATATTCAGATTTTTGTTGGTTTGTGTGTCATGACAGCAGTCACAGTGTGAGAATCTGGACCTAAATTTCTGACACTGTCAGAATTTTGCTACAGCCAAAGCTTTGAATCAGCTGTTAGTCAATGTGTCTCTCAGTGTGACATACGCTCAATGTTTTACATTGTCGACTATAAACTTTCTCGTGATTGTAAAAGCCATCAAATGCTTGTTCAGGTTCCTATTTTTTTGACATTTTCTGATTTAAAGCATAATTTGTCTAATTTTATTTTGGCAAAATTCTTGCACAGATGCTAAATATTGCTGATTAAACATTTCATATTTGAGATGACTGACTTCTTTTGATGAATGAAAGAAGGGTTTTGTCGAAAAACTTTTAAATTTTTCAAATAAAAAGTAGAGAAAAAGCACTGTATGATATTAGGACTGACATTCAGGTATCATAACACACTCATATTGAAATATTTCCTTAATTCATCTAAATACAGACCCCCTGGCTGCCTGTGTGTGTGTGTGTGTTTGTGTGTGTGTGTGTGTGTGTGTGTGTGTGTGTAGTTTCTGTCCCTCACCACCTGGCCACCCCATAATAACAAAGCTAACAGAGATGATCCATGCTGCCGTCACTCTACTGTCACATCCTGTAGCCTCCTTCCCACCTATCCTCTCCTTTATTTCATCCCTCCCTTGCTCTCGCTCTCGCTCCCTCTCGCTCTAGGCTCTGGAAACAGGAATACTACCCTGCATCCCTATCACACTCTCTCTCGCGTGCACACACACACACGCACACACACACACACACAGGCCCATAATGATGCTGACATTTAACACAATACAGCAATGTTATTCCAGCAGCAGTGCACAAGGTCAACTCATTAGAGGGCATAATTGATGTAGGGGCGCATATTCCAACCTGCCACTAAAAGAGTTCTGGGTCAGCCGATATGGACAGCAATTTGACAACAATAAGGACCGGACACAAATGAGGGACCTCGAATGTCATTCAGTGTCTGCCTGGATACTCTACTCTGGGGCAAACAATTTGTTTTGCTTTGATGTTTAAATGAGAGAAACATTTATATCTGGGTCATTCCAGGCCAAAAGTGTAGGAACATGAATGGCTCTGTGTAGCAGTGAGAAGACTGAGAATCCAAGCGAAGCAGCACCAACCGTTAAAAATCTGCATTAATAACACATTAATAGCACACATAAAAACAGCAGAATATAAGACAACTGAGTGCTCAATATTCTAATCAAAATCAATGAAACATCCAGTCATTTCCTGTTTCCGTGAACACAGGCTCTAATCTCCTCTCACTCTTTCAGTCCAGGTACAGCAATTTGAAAATAAAACACATCCCGAGGAGATAATGAATAGTCACACCCTTCACAATACCCAAATTATCATATAGGCAACATAAGAGAATAGCAAACGTGAAGACTGACAAGGTCTCTGGGGTCCAACTCAGCAGCATCTGTATTCATAACATATCCGAGTCCCTGACCTAATGTGCTCCTCCTCCCCTCCCCTCTCATTCATCTCGCCTCTTTACCCAGCCTCCTACTCCTTCCCACACTCATCTGCTCATCCTCTGCTGTGCTAACTCAGCCCATCGTCTCTTTACCTTCATCCCATCCAGTCTGAGAATTTTTCAACCTGCCGCCCACTCTCTTCCTCACTTTTCTCTCCTGCTCTCTCATTATGTCACTCCTTCTGTGCCAACTATTCAAGCTGTTGTCGGTTCAGCAGATAACAGTACATTCTTTTGTGTGCTTAATCACACATCTTTCCATGTCAGAACTTCAGTTCCTGCATCCATTTATCCGTCCCCTGCTGACAAATATCTGACATCAAGATGTAATACATACCTCTTTGCACGAGCATGGTGACCTCGCTGCCTCTGGGACATTTGCTCAGCAGGTCCACCACCTGGTTGTGGCTCATATTTTGGACGTTTCGCTTGTTGACCTCCATCAGAATGTCCCCCTCCTTTAGGCCACGGCAGCGCGGATAGTCCACTATCTGCTTGACCCTCTGCCCTCCTCCCGTGAGGCTGTCGGCGATGGTGAAGCCGAATCCTTTGTCTCCCTTCTCCATGTGGATGGTGATCAGCTCAGGCTGAGTGGCTATGGATGAGGCCAGGGTGACCACATCGCTGGTGTAGCCGTGCGAACCGTTAGACGCCACCTCGGCTGAGGGGCTGTGCGGCCGGGGCTCCCTCATGCCGTTAACGGGTCCAGCCTGGTTGGAAGGCGAGTCAAATGTCTCCTGCCCATTGACGATGATAGGCTCCTTGTCCAAGATCGCCACTGAGGTCACCAGACTGGTGTTGGGGTCATCGGGGTCAAAGGGCAGCGGGTAGCCACGGCATAAGGCCAGGTCCACCATGGAGCCGATGGGGATGGATTGGAAGATCTTCACCACCTGAGCGTGGGTGTAGCCCAGTACAATGGTGTCATTCACACTGACTATCACATCACCTGCACCAAGGAAAATTATACTGTTAGTAAAGCCGTTTTTTACACAGTTAACTGGTATTTAAAGTTGTTTCATGGTTACCTGTCAAGTAAAATTAATGTTACACTGTTGGTGTTATTTGGCATCAGCCCACAGTTGTGCAATGGTGGAATATCAGAGAAAATGGATGGATGTAATGTGAGAACACTACAGTTTGTGTATTGTTGAATGAAAACAGTGCCCCCTGTGGATGATGGTCATGTACTGCACCTGTCTCCATCTTGCCATCCACAGCTGCAGGCCCGTCCAGCACCAAACTTTTGATCTGCAGAAACTCATCTGGCTCGTCACCTCCAACCACAGTGAAGCCGAAGCCGCGGCGACTCTTCTTCAGCTTTGTGTTGATGAAGGTTCCTTTCAGCTCTGCTGGGTTTCTTGTGAAGAAAGGCTTCCCTCCTGCAGAGCACCGGAGGAAAAAACTATTAAAACTTTGTGTTTTCATTCACATATTCTACATTTAAAGATTGCTGTCTCCCTGATCAGGATCAGGAGGAGGGTTAGGATTTAACAACTCATTCCTTAAATGTTAAAGGTCACAGCACCGGCACAGCTGATTGATTACTCTCGTTATTAGAAGCGTTTGTTGAAACATGGACACCTTGTGAACAATTTGACACGTGTCTAACAACACATCCGGTCTGCATGCATTCGCATGTCACTCCCACATATAGTAATTTCCAAAATTACTGGTGCATTCACACGTAACGTCAAAAGGCTGTCAACAAATCAACAAAACTACAGAAGGCTTTTTCTAGTATAAATGTAGTAAACATAAACATTGATCTGAACTACATGATGTACCTTAGGGCGACAGGGTGTCAGTAGCACCTGATATAAAAACCAAGCGGTAGTAATGAAGTAAATACAGTGTGTATAAGCATAAAGATTTACGTTTGACTCCCGCAGGGCCGGGAGGTAGAGCTGGCGGCACCTGCGGGTCCCTGTAGGTCTCCAGGTGGTTTGGAGCGTAGTTTGCCAGAGGAGCCGCTGCTGAGGAGTGCTCCTCTATCCACTCTGTACAGACGCAATCACACACACGTTAACCCACACACACTCAAGGTGTATTTACATGCCACACACATGCACACATGTAGACACTTAACAGCAACACAGATACAAACACAGAGCTTAAAGCACACACTGTTGCCTCAGTTGTAATCAGCTCTTCATTTACATCAGCTTCTACTAGTGTTTGTTGAATGTGAGATACTGTTGTAAGTATTTTCCTTCATAATACTGATAATACAACGTGAAAAAAATCATATTAATGGATTTTGTCATTCCTATAATTATTGTTTGTCTTACTTCAATTTGGGATTTAATCATGCTCTTAGAGCTACAGTTCACATCATATACGGCCTCTGGGGGTTGTAAACATGAAGTATGATTTTTCCATGGAGTCAATTGAACCCGGGTTTTGTAGCCTAAAGCTCTTCATATTTTGGCAATGTTGCTTGCAACGTATCCATTTACAAAACATTACAAAGTGATGATACACATATGATGCATGCATGTTCTGGAGGTATAAAGAGCCAGTTCATTTTTCAATGATTTAAAATGGATTCATGGACATTTATCATGTCTGTTTGTTCAGATTTGAGTGAGTCATGACTCCAAGAAGGAGCACGATTTGTGACGCAAATTGCATCAGTCGAGTGCCAAGGGTCTTAAAGTAACTTAATTGCCTCCATGAGCTGAGTTTTCCTTATATGTCTCACTCTGTGCCTCCCCTGCAACTCTCTCAGCCTCACAGTGTGAAAATCTCTGGATACCTCAGTGAAAAATCTCTGCCTCATCTTTTCATGGTAAAGCAACTTAAATGATCAAATACAAAATGATATATAGCATTTATGATTTTAAAATCACATAAATTAAAATCTAAACACCAAAGACAACACCAGGGCTTGGGCCAGCTTTATTTTTGTTAAATCTGTATGAGAATCAAAATCTTAATTTAGTGAATAACAGGTTTTTGTATCTTGTCTCGACAAGGTTGAGGTCAGAGAAAAGCAGCCTGGCCCAAACCCGGGAGAGCACTGGACGAACTAGAAGGACATGACACTCACAGACATGAAGAAAGAAAGAAATGGTGCCGTGCCAGGGCAGGAAACGAACCTCGAATATACCGCTCACCTTCTGGAGGCTGCGGCTGCTGCTGCTGCTCCAGGATTTTCCGACGCCGCGCCTCCACCACTGGGTTCTCATACTGTGTCTTCCTGTTTATATGACTAAGACAGACAGAGAGAAATCAAGGTAATAGGGGTAAAGATTGATTAGCAGAAAAAAAAACATTAAAAAAAAGCTTTAAGAGAGTCTTTAATTTAGAGAAACTCTGTTTTTCTTTGTATTTCTGTGAATCAGTAAGGTGATTAACTTACTCTACATAATACACCCCGTACACTGGGTCGTCTATTCTCTCCCATCCTGGAGGCAGCTCTGAAATAAAGAAGGCAGCTTTAAACACAGAAAAAACAACCACACTTTCCACACAGTTGTTAGCAGAGCTGAGTGGGGTTGGGTCGACTCTCCAAAACAGTCAGTACAGCAAACATAGCCATCATACTACACTGACAGTACATATAGCATGCAATATTGTATTGGATCACATTTGTCTCATAAGTAACATCTCTCATTATAACAAGATGCTCCACGTTTCTTACTTCTACTGTTTTTTTTTCACTGTTTTGAGTAAGACATTGGATGTTGTGTACTGTCTTGTGTTATATTTGTGAGCATGGTTCATCAGGACTTTCTGTCTTTATGACGCTGCCACAATTTTTTTTGTTTGAATTCTCCTATCAATGCCAAAATGTGATCAAATGTTAAAAAAACTAAGACTAAATAACCCGAGGCATTTACTATTGTACAACAGGATAATTTAAGACTATTTTTCCTCCATTATATTTCCTAAATCCTTGCAGCGCTTTTGTGCCTGCTAAGGAGTTGCAACACTTTTAAACGGCCCCCTTTAAAATGTCTGTTTTATTGCATTAGTAAAAGTAAAACGATTTGAGCCCAAATTGGCTCTTCATCGGGTACAGAGGGTTCTAGCTGGGCCAGTTGTGCACATTTATGAATCTAGTCAACATGCCAGACATGTGTAGCTGTAAGTGTTTACATAAGCTAAATTATGACCTGGATCACTCTCCCGCTGCCTTCATCACATTTACTCTGCTCATTAAGACTAAAACATCTCTCAGTAACTGTGAGAACAAAGATACAACACAGCTTCGAACAAGTCAACAACAAAGTACAGGGCAACACAAGTCTGGTGCGGAAGTGTAAAAACTGAAGAGCTAACATCCGTCTTCGTCTGCATATTGTAATTATTACTGCAGTATGAGGCTCACACAGCCATACACATTGTACACACACCTAACCACGCTTCATGGGAACAGGTGGACAGATGAGGCCAATTAAACTGACACATTCCCATTACGCTGTTGGCATCTCAGTTCTCCACCTCACTGTATTTGATTCCAGACAAAGACATTACCTCCTTGTGTTACTGTGGGCTTCTCCCAAGTCCAGTAAACACTTTTATAGGAGACTGGATTTCACAATCAATAATCACGGACCGTCTGCATCTGAGCAGCCAGCACTAATAAAAGGCTTTCAGCCAGACATTCAAGGCCTGGTTCGAGAATGAGCTCTCATTCCATTACAGGGTTGTTTGTTCTACCTGCACATGGGACGAGAATCGGCAGCTAAACCATTTGCCAGTCTGTGAAGCAACTCCAAGTACATCTATCAGCCTAAGTTCTCAGCACAACCTCAGCATAACATATTCCAGATGTGTTTTTGTGCATCTCAAGACAAATAACTCCTGCTAGTCACGCTATGATCGATGGGTAGCGGAATAGTGTTTTTTGTTATATAGAAAGGAAATGAAATTATACGAAAATCCACAAAGGCTCAACCTTTGGGTATGGATGTTAAAATTTAAGGCAGAGCTACGATCAACAACATATAACTAAACCACACACAGAATATCTCACAGTGATACATGTGAGCAATTAATGCGGTGAGGCTCCATTATAAGCTGAAATTCTAGAGGGAGACATTTGGAGAGTGGAACAAGAAATGTAATAAAACCAACTGCCAAAAATGTTGTCACTTTTGACATTACACAGACATAACTTATGATGGTCAGGTTTACATCACATGGTTTTATTTACCATCTCTAAACACAAGCCATCTTTCTGCATGGGTCTGGAGAAAATCCATTACGATCTATTATGCTTTATAGTTACCCTGTGGAGTTTTCAGTAAAGAGACACATTGTGTGTGTCCTTGAGGCCTAAGAAATAAAGTGATTCTTTTATCCTGATTTTCTTTTTTCTTTTGTCTTAATAAAACTTGCATTGATTACATCAGCTTGCAGTCTCCTCCTTCAGTCATATTGCTATAAAAGCACATGCACACCACCAAATGCCAATACGTACCGCTGCTTTCTGCAGCTGGCACAAACATCTATCATGTAACTGTTTGTAGCACCCGGAGTGCGAGTTGGCACATCATACAACACAAACAGTATAACACTGCTCAACAGTGCCATCTGTGGTCAAAAATAGCTTGCAGCTCTCCTTACTCCGACCTAAATCAAAAATCCTTCTACTGTAGCCCCCTGACAGAATCAAACAGTAAAGAAACAATATCACCGTATTTGTCACGTCAATTAAGTCCATAACTTTTAATTTAAGAGATTATCTATTTTAAAAAATAAATTGGTCATAACTGTGACATCTAATCTAATAACCCCTGAATAACGCTAGTTTTAGACAGAAAAATTAAAAAAATCTTACCTAAATCGCTCTCCAGCTCCTCCGTATGTATCCCTTCTTCTCCAAGTTGAAAGCAAGATGAAACAAAGAAAACAAAATGAAGAAGAGAAAAGAGATGGATAGCAAAGGAGAGGTGGGTTGGGGATGGAGGAATCAAGAGTAAATAAAGAATGAAGTGACAGTCCAGAGAAAGGCAAATAGGGAGACAGAAACCCCTTAGTCTCAGAACTGATAATAACAGGATGAAACAACATCTAAAAAAAAAACAAACACTTGAGCAATCAAGAGAAGTGCAGTGTGCCACTTTCCGTTTCACCACTTGATGGTGCAATTTTGCAGCCTGTGCTCTGAAACCTGAAGTTGACAACTGTCATTTGGAAATTCTCAAACACTCCCTAATTATTTGTGAATTATAAGTATTTTTTTTATGACAGCTGTTGGGAAAGAACTCAAAATCAACAACCAACAACAGTAAGGCAACTGTAGGACACATACCAATTCAACATATCTCACAATCAAAACTCTAATAAAGGCACTACTGAGAAGTTTAGTAATGTCACCACTCAACACACAAGAAGAGCCTCATGTCCGAGACCTCAAGCACCACCTACTGAGCCCTGAACCACTACACAGAAGTGTGAATGTACACTTTTATTGTGTAAACAATGTGTAGCAGCTTACCATCATCATCACACTCTTCCAGAGGCCTGGAGGCTTTGTCTCTACACCGAGGATCCAGCCAGGATGTGGTCTTTGTGTTGTGGCTGAGAGGAAACAAATAAAGCAACAGAATAATTCAACACAGGCCGTCAAACCAACATATAAAAGCATAGCACAGAGGCACATGAATGCATCAATAAGAATTAGAAAGTAAACCGCGTCAGCAAGTTTACAGAGGACAGAGGGCGCCTGCTGCAAAGAGAAATGAGAATAACAGAGCGACACAGGCAGGAAATCAACAAATAAACGACCTGACTTTTCCCTCCATTGTTAAAACAAGAACATACTGTAAATCAGTGATAGCAGAAATGAACATACAAGCTCTGAAAATGCATAGCCATGTCCTGGTGGTGTGCCTTTGCCGTGCTGCAGAGGGGACAGAGAGGTGGAGGTAGTCAGGTGATCAGGATGTGATCTCCTTTAGAGATCGGGACATGCAGGGATTAACAGGAAAGCAGTGGCACCCAGGGGGTTGGGCAGGTTGGCTGGGGAGGCCTAAAAACCAAATCATGGGGGAAGACAAGCCACTGGACGAACAAAAGGGATAATAGTGCAGGTAAAATACAGAAAACACCAACTATGGTACGAGCTATGGTGACAAATGCTTATACAGGCAGTGCTCAGAGTGGGTGTGCAGCAGATTAGGCAATTAAGTTGCAGGTTGCAGGTTGTCGATACATACTCTATGAAGTAAAGTTCTCCATTCTCGGTGTAGGCCATCTCCCAGTTTTCAGGCAGCGGTCCCAGCGGGTCTTCTGGAGAGACCTGCGGTTCTGCGAGGGTCTGCTGCCCACTGTCTGCGGTGGAGGTGACAGCATTGTTCAGACCACAGGATGGAGCATTGTCACGTGCGGGGTACGGCCGGAGGATGCCGCCACGGCTCTCGTCCTGGTCGTTAGGGTTACCTGTGCACAACAAAGGAGAGGGGAAGAGACTACGCACTAAGGATCCTGGGTAACACAACAGGTACAACACGGAACAACAACAAAAACAACAACAACAAAAAAGAGCAAAAACACAGTTTATGTCTTGTACATGCACGAAAAGAATACAATAAGCAGACATGCAACTTGAACCACACCAAAGTCCCCGCAGTTCCCCTTCCCCCATCCTAAATTTGACTCCCGCCCATTTCTAGTGTACTGAAAGGGCCCCAGGAATATGCTAATTCTTCCAGCAACAGTCTTTCCCAAACTCTTTTTGACCCCCACCTTCTTTTTACCTCTCCACCCATAAGCCTCTTTCTTCTAAAGCTAGCAATCCCAACCCCCATCCCCACTCGCTACCCCAGTTCTGGCCAAGTGTCCTCCACCACTTCCGTGGGCCTTTCAGGGTTGATCAAATGCTAATTCAACACTTTGGCTGCCTGGCAGGGGGACACAGAGAGGGCATAGATTCACAGCAGAAAAAAACACCATCTATCACACTCACAAAACAGGAAAGAGCTCAAAGGAGAGAGGAAAAGATGGGAAACACAAGATTTGGCATAAAAATCTCATATTGTTGCCTGTTTTCTTCTTTTATTTATATTATGTAAATCATTTACATGTAGATGACAATGTTAAGATGTGTTGAGGAAATCTGGCATGGGAACACACTCATTACCTGGGGCAGAAATATTAACACTTAAGCAAACACGTACACATGCAAGAGGGAATATGATAAGTTAACGCAAAGAAAAGTGAGAAAATAAGATACAAGTGGGAGAGGAGAAAATGATGAATCGTGTGTGTGTATGTGTGTAGCCTGTAATCTACTTCTTCCCCCATTACGCCCCTCCTCACAGGCAGATGGCAGTGTTTGGAGGCTCCGAGTAAGAGGAATCAGCATCACAAAGACATGATGTAACCACCAGACACCGTACAACAGAGGAGAGGATCATAAACATACACACTTTGTCTCACTCCCTCTGTATTCCTAATCTTAGGTGCACACATGTATGCACAGACACTCCTAAACAAACATCCACTCGAGAACAAACACAGCACAGATGGAGAGTACTACACACGCAGAGACAAAGAAAATCTGTAGATGCAGAAACTTCAGCAAGCCGAGAGAGAGAGGCTGGAGAGGTGCTACAACGCCCTCACCTGTAAAACTGTTGTTCATTTCCGTGGCCTGGTCGTCATCGTCGTCGTCAGCAGGCACTACTCGGGCGTTTTGCATGTCATTGTAGGACTTGGTGCGCTTTGGGGTGGACTGCCGGGAGCCTGCATCACTGAGAATCACTGTCCCAATGATGGGCTGCCTTGGCGGCTTGGGGGTCCCATAATAGTTACCTAGGCAACAAGAAGGACATTAGCATGCTTGAGAGAGACACAGAAGGAGGGAGAAGGAGAAACCGAGACAGAGTGAGGAAAGGGATAAAAACAGGCAGAGTGGGGGACAGAGAGATAGCAAGCAGAGGATCTATGAAACCTCCTAATCTTACGCTGAGAGGAAAAGACATAAAGCTGGATCACAGAGTGACTACAAATCATGGAACTAAGCAGCTGGTGAGAAAGCAAAACGATTCTAGTTTGTCTTTGAGGCTGCAGAGCTGTATTGTCTAGACTCTGAAAGCACTGAGCAAAAACCATGGACCAGCTCACAACAGCCAGCTTGTTTTAGCAGCTTTTTCTGACTGAAGCTGCTGTTCATTTCTCAGCAGTGCAAAAGGGATTTATCAAGTTTCTCTTTCTGGCATTGTCGTAATCATGTATCCATATATTTGGTTCCAGCATTAGATGTGAAAATTAATACCACTCCCATGTCTGTACGGTAGTATAAAGCTAGAAACCAGCAGCTGGTTAGCTTAAGTTTAAGACTGGAAGCAGGTTATATCTACAAAAACCAAAGTGTAAAAATGTCAAGATCATGACTATTTCTTGTATAAATTATCATTATCAAAATATATTATTTTTATATAATTTGATGAGATCACTACCAATCTTACATCGGTAGACTAAATGTGAAGCTAGCAGCCGGTTAGCCTAGCTATAGCATCTTAATTAATGAGCTTTTAAAAGGTGATGGTAGGCAGATTTTGCTACCATCAGAAAGAGCCAGGCTAGCTGCTTTCCTCTGTTTCCAGTCTTTATGCTAAGCTACCTGGCTGCTACATATTTACAGGGTACACATGCAAGGGTATTTCGTTGATGTGAAACTATTCCTTTAACAGTTTGACGTCACCAAAGGATGTCGCTGAATGTCATCTCCCCTTATTTCCTGTCAACTCTCTACTATTTACTATCAAATAAAAAAGGCACAATTTCCCCCTGAAATATTCAACAAAACTGAGAGGAATATTGCATATAAAAGGCAGGATCAAAGGATATGTTATGATCAAATCTTTTTCTATTTCTAATACAATCATTTATACATTAAATACAGATATATTCATGAATCAATAATCCAGGCTTCCTCTGGCTGTCTGGATGGCCACCGACTCCTGTGGACAGGTATTTGACATTGTCTGCGTGAAAGAGAGAACTGTGCCAACACAAGGCAGAACCAGTGCCAAGCAGATTAATGTCGCAACATTCTGTACCAGCCCCATGCACAGCCACACACACGCACACACACACACACACACACACACACATACGCATAAATAAGACTTATCCCTGCATAAGGTACATGCTCGCAAAAAAACACACAATGCATGAACACACACTAGCCCACACATATGCACACATGTTTACACACAGGTTTGTGTCAGTTTGAGCTGCACAACACTGTCCTCATCAGAGTGAGAGGGGCAGATGTGGAGTGACCCGCTGTCTCCTGGATGCATCTCCCCCCATCATGCACAGTCTAATCGGAATCAACCGAGTGCACACTCTTACAGCCTGCCTGCATGTAGGAAAAAATAAATGTTGATCGCTGCTACGCTTCTTGTATCTGTGGTGAATCGGGACACCTGCGCTATCATGACTCACATGGAGTGTCAGTTACGATCAGTATCTTCGCCGTCCTCACCTTCATACGTTCCTATTTCCAGTAGTGTGCCACTCTCCTCAAGTTCTAGGAAGTCCTCCACAGATAGGAAGTTGTAATCCACCCCTGGGACCTCACCGTCTCGAGGGGCGCGGGTTGTACCTAAGGACAAGAAAACAAACAAACAAATAAAGTTTAGGTGGCTGCTGATAACCAGTTAAAATTCAAGCCATGCGCTTACAGTTGACTGAAGGTGGAATCAGATTTTTCCTCCTGGAGCGACAACACATTCAATATTCTCCTCTCATAACTACCACACTGAAAGCCTGTCATTAGCGTTAAAATGCAGTCAACATCGCAACATTCATTCAGCTTTTAGAGATGATGAGCGGTCAGAGGGAAGGGTTTCAACGGCAGGAAATGAGAGAGTTCTGAAATCGAGAGGGCGCAATTGTAATTCAGAGCGGTGATTGGAAGTACAGTGACTGGTGAGTGGCTGCAAATATCATGTCAGGAAATTAAATGGAGGCTCACATCTTGAGCTATCTCTCTGCCTCATGGGAAACTGCTGCCTGCTGAGTCAGAAGATAAAATAAAGGTCACCTTTAGCAATACACAAGTCCTGATAATGTTATCAATCCATCCACTTCTTCTTGGTGAGTCTGGAATTGCATTGACATAATACTATTATAGTCATATTACTTAAGCTGGTATTAAAGCTGCATTGTTCCTGTTACGACTTCAATGCTCTACAGCTACACTTACTGCATTCTTAAGTGTCATTAGGTTTAACTGTAGTATAATAAAAGCTTTTCAGTCCGAGGCAATAGAAACCAGGATCGACTCCTTCATGTTGTGAAACCAGAGAAGACACGAGACAGTGAAACTCAGTACATTTGAAATAATTCTACAACAATCGCACATTAGAAGTTTGACCAGAGTCTGAATCAACTTTTTGGTTTCAAATTCTCTTTAAAGGTAAACCATCATCAACATTTTCCTCACTGGGCTAACTGCCCTGGGCCTGATCCCTCTTTGGAGTTAATGATTAGTGGTCTGCGGCGTTTTACTTTGTAGTGAGAGCACTTTGTAAGAGGAAGCTGACACCAGACAATGGAGACAGGAGCTATTGTGTCTCTGTCTTTACAAAGAGGAGGTGAGATGAGATGACAGGCCAGATGGTTGACGGAAGTTGTAACCCATCTGTGATCAGGACAAGAGTGCTTACATGCATATATACACACACATGCATATGAATGTATTCTCACACCCCTCTTAAGTGAGGTAGACCTGCACCATAACACAGGTAGTAGAGTGAACCATTAAATGCCACACACAATGGCGTACTGGGCCTCAGCGATGATAAACACTGGAATAGCATCAGAAACCTCCTCCCCCACATCATTCTGACATCCGATTGGGGAGGGGGTTCTGCACCCAACCATTTCTGTAACTTTCCGAAACCAATAATCTGACATGTGCACTATGAATTAGAGGTCTTCATGAGTCCAAAATCTGAAATGGACCTGTGGAAAACCAACCCAAACTCGATGTACATAAATTAGTTTTCAAAAAACAGAAAGACCCGATCCAATGGAGACCTGAGCACAGCCAGACCGGACCAAAATAAACACAGGAGCAATTAGACCTGATCCAAAATGCAGTCGACCTGAACAGACTTCAACAGGGAGAGAACACCATCACCAGCAGAAGCATGATGCACTATCAATAAACAACAAGCCATGGTGGAAAAAGAGCATTATGCTGTGAGAATGAATGTAAAGTTATAGAAACTAAAATCAAAGACACATATATACAAACACTTGAAAATCCTACTTCCACCTACTGCACCAACAATAAAACATCCTGTAGCTGACTAAGCAACAGACAAAAGACAATGTTCTAACCTGTTTAACAAATGTCAAGAATCAATTTCCCCAAAAAACGATCATTTAGTGGCATAAACCTCGTGGGCTTCTTATTTTCCTAAAATAAGCCCAGGTTCAGTTTTCTTGTCAGAACAAAGCTCTGGTGATTCTTATTCTCCCTCTTACCTCAAAGCACACTGGTGATCGTGACATACCAGCGATCAGAGCTGATACCTCATACACTTGGGTGAATTTGAATTTACTTGGTTATTGTACATATGGACACGCAGACCTGAGTGGCCCAGCAGTAAAATGAGACCCTACCTGACCTGATTAGACAGTAGTATTTGGACTCTGTTGACCCATGAAGGCCTCTGCAATGAATGCCTTCCAGGAGAGACAGTCAGATAATGTTATTACTGGTCATCCGGATGGGGAAATGAATGTCTGAACCCAATTTCTTGGCACTCCATCCAATAGTTGCCGAGATATTTAACTCAAAATCACAAATGTCAACCTCATGGTAGTACGTGAGCAGCAGTCAGGGAAGTCAAAATCATTCCAATTCATCCTCTAGGCACGACAAATGTTTGTACAAAACTACATCTCAACCGATTCAGTAATTGTTGAGATATTTCAGCCTGAACCAAAGAGGTGGACCGACCAACAGACAGACAGACATTGCCATCCATCGAGCATGGCTAATAACTGGTAAAAAAAAAAACAGAAACAAAAAAACTTGCTTTTTGAAAGCAGATAAATGCAGAAATGACACTTTATTGTTCTTCAAACAATTTAATAGCATCACTGTGTTCTATTCTTGACAGGTGAGAAAGCTCAGTTTTGACACTGATTCTGTTTTGTTCAAGTGTTTACCTGCTTCTCTCCAATATGCAAGTGCTCACTCCATCCCTCAGGGTAGATCCAGCCCACAAACACCTGATAATAAGTAAGCCTTTACTGTGCACCGCTCAATCCTACACCTTCACCACACTGCAAAGGCAACGCTTATCCTCTTTATCGCTTCTCTTCCTGCCATTTAGAAAATGATACACAAGATAAATTGATAAGGAGGAGGCGATTTAGTTGACAAGACATAGTGCTCAGCCTGTGAGCAACATAATAAGCCCTTCACATGAAGCAAAAAAAAAAAAAACACATTATAAATCATCTAACTGACCGTTTACAGCAGCGATACAGAAGCAAAGTGCTGCTTTGTATTCACCTCAGTGGACTGAGATGAGATGAAAGAGAAGTTGTCTGGGAGTTTGAGTCATAGGACTGGGTGGTCCCAGGGTGGGAGATGTTTCTGAGGCTCACCGTGCTCTAATGATGCTGGCTGCAGAGCAGGGAATGGAGCTGTTATTCCAGGCTATTCCCCACAGTGAAGGCCTGTGGTAGGATGAGTAATTCTCGTGTTCCTATATTACAGAGTATTCAAGACTGAACACTGCATTATTCAGCTTCAGTTATGTCATCATCACATGTTTAGTATAAAACAACCATTTCTATAAACATTTTTAACCCTCATGAGTGGCACTGAATCTTTTTTTTTTTTCTTTTTTTTTTTTAATTTGACAATCTGAGCTTCTGGGTTATGTAACTTTGTGTTCTGTTTGTACTTTACTTCTCTATTTTCAATGCAGGAGGACATCACTCTTGTTGCATGGGAGCAATCAATCAGCTCTCACCATATTGTGACATTTTAATGATGTCACAGCGATGGATTCCAGTAAAAGTGGTGTTTTATACACAAACAAACAGAATGAACAACAAGTAATGTTTGCCCTTACTTCAAAATCACAAAGACAACAGCAGCTGTGGCTCCAACTCTATAATCTGAAATACAAATTGACATAACAATCACACACACACATATATATATACATACATACATACATACATACATACATACATACGTATGTATGTATGTATGTATGTTTGTATGTATGTGTGTGTGTGAATTCCTCACAATGCTCTCAGTTAATCAAGAAAATGATAATCAGTAGATAAAATTGATAATCATAATAATTGTTATTAGGAATCCTAAAGATCCGGTTTTGCTATGAAGCAGACTTCCTTATTGATTGCAACAGTGGCCCCAGTGACACCCAGAGATATTTAAGGAACAGCTACAGCATAGCAGTAGATGCAGCAAATCTCTGACAGTAGACAAATTTATATATGGCCATATCGCCCCTATTCCACAGAAAATACTCTATAAGTGAGATGACAAACATACAGTACATATCATGATAAAATGTTTTATTCTCCAGCACAAATCCATTTGATGAAGAAGTACTGTTGCCAAAGAACAATGATGTCTTCTTGGAGACATCAAACACATACTAAACACACTAAACACTCCCATTCAGAGCAGAGAGAGAGAGCCTGAATCATCTCAGTGTAAAGCAGTAACAGTGAGGTCAGGCCTGTCTCCTTACTACCCCTCTGGTTAGTGTCTATTTTCTCTGTCCAGAGAAACAATGACTGGGCCATAACTCTGCCCTGACCGCGGCCCTGATGAACTAACTTCCACTGGCAGTCATCAATGGGCTCTTTCTTTCACTGTGAGAAACCAGCCTGTGTATGCATGAATGGAAAAATGTAACACAAGCACATTTGGAAACATCTTGAGTTTTAAAATACCACCAAACCCAGCAGAGAGCAATCTTTGTTCTCCAGAGGGCATAAATGAGTGTTCATCTTTCCTCCCAACTTTGTTGTACTGGTATGAAAACCAGTATGGAGCTTTCATGAAAGCTAGGTACAGAGGGTGGGCATGATGACAGTAACACCTACAAAATAAATGCAGTTCAGTACAACAACACAAACCACTTAAAAATAATATCTCTCTGTCACTACTAGAAAACTAAACAGTACTGGTGTCCACTCTGTATTTTTTGTTCTGTGACAGGAGAAAACATTAAAAACTTTATAAAGCCAATATCTTACATTTCTCCAAATAATTATAATAATCACAACTGAAAGGGTTTTTGAATGACTGAGCATTAGTAGAAAAATGTGATATTTCTTTGAAATGTGGTGAAATAAAGATGTCTGTGTTCTTCTGTCTACTTCTGTTTTGCTTTCAGAGAATCAAATATGACAGGCCGGGTGCCTGCATCCACAGGCATCAAATATGCTCCAGAAGAGTCACTTTTGCACACTGCATTTCAAGTTTAATAGTGTCAGTGGGTATGATTATTCAATAAGAGAGACAAATCTGTCAGTGGTTTTACTGATGGCATTTTAATTCAGCACTAACGTTGGCCTAAGTGTTCCCATACTGTA